GGTCAAACAGGTCTACTCTCTGCATGGACATAGCGAGTAAAAGATCAGCGAAAAGTAATTTTTAAGATAAATTAATTCCCGTCGAATCCTGCAGCACTTACCGATAATGTGGCGGCGGCAGCTTCAGAACCGTCTCCTTCATGAGACGCAAACGTTCGTCGGCCTCGTCGGCCTTCACCTGGATAGCCTCTACAAAGTTGTCATACAGCTGATAAGTGCAGAGCGGATTGGGCAGCTCGCGGAAGTACATTTTCAGTAGAGAGCTGACCGCATGAATGTCCTGCTTCATCTCTGGATTACCCAAATCGGGCACACGCTCCTCGTCGAAGGCACGACGCAATCGCTGTATGTTCGATGTGATGCCAGAGAGGCGATAGATGCCATCGATGACGCCATAGTTCTCAATGAATTCGGCACAGGAACGCAGCACCATGGGTATATCCTGGCCGCTGTTCAGCAGATGCTCCGACAGATCACAAGAGAAGACGCGCTCCCTGTAGATGCCGCTCTGCTTGAGGCGTCGTCGCGACGGACGCGACAATATAAAGGAGCGAAAGAATGCAATCAGTTTGCCATGCTTGCGCAGCACCGGCTTCGTGGGCGAAGCATCTAGATGACCCACCAGCGGTGCGGGCATTGGAAAATTCCGTGGCACCTTATCGCCAATAGTGGCCACACAGGACTGCGGAAAGAAGCCAACCTCATAGAGGGACTTCTGCAGATGCGACTTCTTGCCGCGCCACCAGATCGATTCCGCCGGACTGGGCATATCAATAACAGAGATCATGTCGCCCACCTCAATGTTAATCTCGTCCGGCGCCTGCGCCTGATAGCGTCGCACGCCATAAGCTGCGCCCACCGCTGGCGTATTGATCGTACGCTGTGTCTCCCCATCGGCCAGCGGCAGGCGGCGTCCTTTATTGTCCAATTGCAGCCAGGTGAGTATAGTGCCGCATGTTAGCGAATCGGAGGCTATTTTGGAAAAGCGTTCCAAATACTTGGCAACAGCATATTCCACATCCTGTTCGCTCTGCAGTTGCGCATCCGCCTCCAGTTCGCACATGTTGCGCAGCCCGCTAATCTTGCGGTCGTAGACACAACGATGCAGCATCTCGTCCAGCATTTGCATGTTCTCGTAGCTGCGCTTAATCAGGAACGGTTCACAGCGTTGCGGGCAGACGCGTATGATGAACCAGCAGCTCTCAGGCGTAAACGCAGCCGAACGCATCGAGCTGTGCGCCAGCTCGCCGCCAATCGACTGGGAGGCAATGCTGCTGCCCATCTGCTCCGACTTGTCGTCCAGCAGCTGCACCGAAAGGGCGCCCAGCTGTACGCGCTCATAATGAAAATGGGCGCATTCCTCCAGCTTGGGAAAGCGACAGGATTTCTGTGAAGAAATTATAGATTAATATATATATAGTTTCAATAGAGGCTCCAGGGTGGAGGTTTTCCGGTTTACTCACGCTATTCAAAGGCTGCACGGCCATGTGCCGGCTGGGTTTGGGTGGTGGCACGGCTGTCGTAGCTGGCGGACTGCAGTTGGACTCTGTGGATGCATTTGAGATTTGTGATGTGTTCATCGAGGCAAACATCTCCTGGCAGCTGCTGCCAAGGCCTAAGTTAAGGCCACCCAAACTCTCCACTGGTACAATCTTAAAGTTTAGCTGTGCACCGATTGCAGCGGCCGGGGCATCCGTCTCGAATTGCAGCGGCGCATCCTTGGAACCAATAATTGGCTGCAGCTGGCAGGTGGCAGTCTCTGTGGACGAGCTTGTTGCCATCGCATGCGCATGCAATTGTGCCGCCAGAGCGCTGCTCACCTTCTCGGACATGGTATATGCTCACGGATTACACGGATTTAGTCATCTGAAAGAAATAAATGAAAACAAATTAAATCGAGCTGCATTGCCAATAATATTTCTACCTAACTTTATAGGTTTTTATATGGAAAAATAGTTCTGGTAATGTATTGCAACTAAATATTGACGAACAACATTTTTGCTGCAGCCAATGAGAAGTCTTGGTAGATGATTCAAAAGCATAACCATTTAAGATACACATTAGATTCTTGGTTATAGATTGATAAGGTTACGACTAATTGAATATGTACAGTATAACAATTAGCAGCTGCATTTATATTATTTATTACAGGGCAGTTTAAAGTCGAACTGCCTTATGCCCTTTGCATCAAGCATGACGCGCCGGGCAGTCAACGGCCATAAATTTCCAATTACTCAGAGATTTCTTAAGTTATTTCTTTGAAATTGTATACGGGCACACACACACACACACACACGCACACACATATATATAACGAGTGTATCAAAATAATGACGGAAGCCGTCAATGAAGCCCCCCAAAATACTTGCATGACTCTCAAATCAACAGCCACTTAGCTTTGTGGGTTGCTGACTGTTTTACACTGGCAAAAGATATTGTTGTGGCTTAAGAGGAAAGCAGTTTGTTTTCATTGGAGAGCGAAATAAAATGTATAAGAAAGTTGTCTAATTTTTGAAAGCTTTGTGAGTTTTATGTCTGGGCTTACTGTTCAACAGAGTAAAGACTATTAAATAATTGCTTAGCCTATGCAATTTTGTCAAGTCTATTAATCGAACGATTTGCACTATGAAAATTTCTTTTATATTGTTATTACAGCAAATTTTTAATTGGCGTATTTTTAAATATGTAAATTTCGTTGACGTTTAATGCACACATTTTGAGTGAAATCTTTTTTTCTGTTTCTGTTTTTTATTTCTTCTTTTTTTTTTTTTTTTTGAGTGTGCTTTATTAAATGCGTAATTTTGACAGTGTATGCTGTGTGCTGCTGTTCGCGTTTACTTTCTAACAGCACGCACGTATTTTTTATCAATTACCCCAAGCCGGCGTGTTCTACTTTCAGCTAGCGCAAAACTCTCTATGGGCAAATGCTGTGAGCCGTGTCTGGAATTCCTTTATTTGGAATAAGGCCAGTGGCTCAGACAGACACAGCCACTGGCCGCTTAAGGATGTGGCACACCACTCTCATATATAAATATATATATACGTATATCTGCAAGTATATCCCATCTATAAGCAGATACAATAAATATTTATAAGCAACCAGTTGGATTCGCAATCGACTCACCTAGCGGCAGTTCTGATTTACAGGCGACACCAAATGCATGCAACGGCCTGCAACATTTAAACTTTCATAAATTAAGCTAGCCAGGGGCTGGGCAGCAGCAGTCGTTGGGGGGGACAGAGGGTGCAACACTTGGACTGCGATTGCGACTGAGACACACACGTAGAGCGAAAGAGAGGCAGGACAGAGAGACTGGCGCTGCCGTTGGCGTCGGCGAAATCGCAGAGCGAGACGGAAACGAGTTTTAGCTGAGAATAGAGGGAGTGGGAGAGAGGGGCGATCCGGTACCCGGCACTGGACACCGGGCAGCAGCAGCTGCCACAACAAGCGGGGCAGGGGGAGGGCAGCCGGCTACGTTTATCAAATGCAACAAAACTATTTGAAATGTTGACGCTAACGGTTCGAAAATGCAGCACATAAAGAAATACAAAACGACAAAAGCGACAAGCGACAATAACAACAACAACAACAAAATGTGCACATAAAAAAGCGTTAAGCGAAATAAACAATTTGGTAAAAAACAAACGGCAAAACGAGCTGGGAAAATGGAAAAAAAAAACGCACACAAAAAACAACAGTCACAAAAAATAAACGAGGTAGAAGAAGAAAAAAAAAAATGGAAATACAAATAAGAAATAGCCATAGATCAATGCGGCCAAATGTAGCTGTAATGTGGCCTAGGCAAAAACGGGAAATGGGATAGAAATCATGAATTAATGCGTGAGATTAACTTTATTAATGATATCTTTGACAGTCGGTCCATTATAAAGTGGTACGGTTTGATTGTTTTTAATACCATTTAAGGTCTTTCATAGCTGTTCTCTAATGAAGTTAAATAGCCAGTTGAACAATTGAATCGAAGTTCATTTACAGATTGTATAATTGAACTAAGTATTACGATTTATTGCCCTATGAATGCTATTGGAGAGTTCAATTAATAAGAATTATTGTTTTACTTTACTCAAATTTTTATTAGATCTACGAAATTTACTATGGGAAAATGGAATCATTTATTTTATTTTTAATCTACTACTATATTGCATGGTAATATTATTTAAAATTGGGGGACCAGACATGCTTAACCCATTAACATTTTTTAGGTTTCTTTACTCGAATAATAATTAGTTGGCGTTGCATAATAAATAATTCGTGATATAGTTAACAAGATTTATTACCTAATTAATACCATATTCCCTTTGGTATAATTTTGACAAGTAATAAAGTATATATATTCTAGATCAGCACCAACAGCCGATTTGATATAACCAGGTCCGTCTGTCTGTTTCTATGCAAACTTGTCTTTCAGCTTTAAAGCCACCATCTTGAACCTTGGCATAGGTCCGTCTTTCTCTAGCAGGCAGTACGTATATCGGAGGCGGTGGGATCGGACTACTATATCATATGGCTGTCATAGATACGATTGGTCAAAAAGTAGCTGCAAAAGGCAAATATTTACCTTACTTTCCCGTTTTTAATATCACTTATAATTGTCAGATTTTAATTGCTTGCGAATTACGACTACAGGAATATTAGTTTTTTTAACCAGATATTATCTGCCTTGTGGCTTTAAGTCGATTAGATGGCTAAATCATAATTTTTTGAGGACACATTTTCGTGTTAATGGCCGTGTCTGGGCTAATTTCTTGACCGTTGCATTTACGACATGATAATCAATATGCCCAGCAACTGTTTTTCTCTTCAATGTTTTTCAATTCAAATTTGTATTGCTGCAATTGCTGTAATCGGTTTTTTTTTCGTACCGTTACAACGCGTTATTGCATACATATATATCAAATGAATTTTATCTCGCACATTTACAATGTTTCGCTTGATTAGCTGCTGCTGTTGTTGTTGTTGCTTTGGGGTGTTGCAATTGGCAGTTGCAGCTAGGCTCTTGGCCTGCTCGTGCACTTTGCCATCGCTGCCAAAGATGAAGACATTTTCCCAGGCAAAGCCGAAACCGAACCGAGCCGAACGGTCAGCCAAATCATGTACGTCACTTTCTCCAATCAATTAAGCCCCATGTGCAGTGTGTCTGTGTGAGTGTGTGTGTGTGTGTGTGTGTGTGTGTGTGTGTGTGTGTGTGTGCCAGGGTAGCGATTTCAATCGCTGGCAGCCTCTGTAGACTAATTAATGCTATGAAATAACTTAATATTGAACAATAGTTAATGGCTTTTTAATAGTCAGGTTTTTACTTTTTTTTTTTTTTTTTTTTTGTTACTTTTTATCTCTCACGACTGACCCAATTGAGACAAGTAAAACTGCTTAAGATTTAAAGACGTAACCAAAAGTTACCCTGTAAGCAGACATGCTCAATTAAATAATTTAGTTTACTACCAATTGTACTCAGTAATTATCAGTTGTAGACATAAACTCGTTTGATGCTAATTAAATCACGTACTCAAAACAATCCTGACAAATTGTTGATTACCGTCAAATTCAAAGAGAACAACATTTTTAGTTGGCTTTATTTAATAACAATCATTTTGATACTTTGTGCAAATTGATATAAATTAAATTAAAATAGTATATTATTTATGCAAAAACGACTGGTTTGTACAAAAAAAAAAAAAGAGAAGGTAGGATATATTCAGCACGCCGAAGATCTAATACCCTTGCATACATTTGCCTTTCAGTTTCGTAGATATGTGAATGTACTGAAGCTCGTAAATGCTGAATTTAATAACAGAATATTTTGACAAGAACAAAAACTTATTTGTCAACCAATTCCCACGATTTATTTATCTCGGCCAAATCTTTGCCGCAATGACTTGCCAAATATGCATATAAGCAGTTTAAATGGTAAATGATGGAGTTAGTGTATATATATATATATTGACAGAGAAAAACGTTTTTCACCTGACTTCATTTTCGACAGATCGTTTATATGGCAGCTCTATGACATATTATTTCGATTTTGTATATAAATCAGGAGCATGGTGAAACTAATAAATGATAAACAAAAAAGTTCTACCTACAAAAACCTACTACTTCTTCTACTACTTCTACATATGCATGACAAAATTATGATACTCTCCGAAAGGGTATAACAACAAAAGTAGATATAGCACATAGTATACACTAATAAATATCAGATTAATATTACTACATACAATTCTACTTCTACTATTATTTGTCAGTCACGTAACACAAAAAGAGTATATATTTTATATATATTTATATATAAAAAAAACAATTTGAAAATTACTTTATTTTTCTTTATCTTGAGAATAAGCGACCATCACGTGCGTGTCACTGAATTTGCCTTTCTATAAACATTAAATTTAAAAAATATATATATATAAATATATTCTGAAATGTGTTATAAAACGTGATAGTTAGCTGGAAACTTTGTCGTGGGAGAAGAGAAGACTTTTATTGCTGTGAGAGAATATGTGAATTAGGTGCGGCGATGCCTCACACTGCGTGCTGCTAACAGGGTATACAAACAGCTTTGGCTGCCAGGCCAAACTAAGGCTGACACTGAGCTGCAGTGCGTGCGAGTATCTAAGAGAGATACTAAGATACTCAGACCCGCATACGTATGCGTACTTGCATTTAATAAATGCACACAGACGTTCTAAGTTGTCTGTTTGCAGTAACTGGCAGTCGGAGGCTTGTGCTAATTTATGGCACTAACTGGGTCACAACTGCTCTGCGGCGTTTCTAGAGCGAGAACGCACACTAACTAATGATGTTGTCGGCCATAAAAGACTTGTGACTACATATATATATATATACATACATTTATACAATATGCCATGCATAATGTGCTTAACTTGGTTGTCAGTCAGTCAGTCAGTCGGTCGGCAGTCATTTAGCTGCCGAGTCCCTGACATGCTCTTGTTGCGCTCAACAAGTGCAACACAATAGAACAGGCCCCCAGCATTAACAGATCCGTCCGGGCAGAGGAAGTAGGAGGTGCTGCAGCCACATCCCAGCAGATTACAGCCCCGGGAAATGTTGTTCACTGATTCTAGGGCATTAAGTGTAAATGGTTTCTAGGAAGCGCATATATACATATATATGAGAAAAGAAATAAAAGTACTTTTGCACAGCGTGAGAACTTGGCGGCTGCTGATTAACACAAGAAGCTGCTGATGAGCTGATAAAAAGCACGTCTTGTTTTTCATTTTTTCAAAATTTGGAATAAACTGAAATTTGAAACTGATTAATGTAGTTTATATACTTCCTGAGATAACAGACTGAAACGCCTTGAAAGCGCTTTCATATTTATTGAGCAAACTTTATTTTTATTACAGGTCCTGCAACTTTATATTCTTAATTAATTGGTTTTTTTTTTTTTGTCTAACCTCTATGGGGTGTTCCTATACATGACTATCTACTAAAGAAAAATGGTATGCACACGGAGAGAATGAAAACAGATTTCAGCTTTCGTTCATGCTGCACTTTTTCCTAGTAGAGCGATCCTTGAGTTTCTCTTAAGTATGCCGAAGGTTCACTTTGTGGTTAATCCGCCTCGGTATAAAATATGTGACTTTTCAATATTTAATAAAAGCACAACAAAGCACTCGTGCGTTTCATTCTTAGTCACACTTAAAGATAGCTTAAATAAATGTAATTACACCACAATTATAACAAATTTAACCGCTTTAAAATATATGTGTTTATTAAGCAACTGATGACTAGCTTTAATAAATGATTCACACTTTTGCAGTTTAAGCCAATTAAAACCATGGATATATGCTATACTATGATATTACAATTGAATGGAATATAAAATTTCAAATTTCTCATGGACAGTGACTAATGAGTGCGCATAAAAAGTCATTAAACTGGCCAATTTCAATGACCATATAACTTTTATAGTCTATGTGTGTGTGTGTTGGCACTCACGTTATGTGCTCGACACATGAAATATGATGGCAGAAAAAAAAAAAAAAAATTGTATTTATATAAAACTATGGGGTGTCTCGTCTGCTATAAGCAACCCACTGAGCGCAGATTTCCAAATTGTGGCCCCAAGGCTGCTACAATTCCGGTTCCATTGCGGCGCTACTGGTTGCTAATCTCTCGAGCTGTGTCGTATCAATCTGCGCCTCAGTTGACAGAGCCAAGAGCCGCGACTCGAGACCCGAGACCTGAGACACGAGACACGAGACCCGAGACGAGGCACTTGCCAGTCGCCAGTCGCTGGTCGCAGCTCGCGAAATCTGATCTGATTGTCTTGACTGACTCACAATGTGCATTTGTTTACATATGTTGAACCTTTTTCGAGAGATTCCTCGCCTACTCTCTCCCCCCCCAACACTCTACACTCTGCTGACTCACAAAACAGTTGCCACTGTTCGGGAGACGGCGGGCGGTTTGGTTGCATGCACCGTAATTAGTCTAAATGTAGCTGCATATTAGTCAACTCGGGCAAACGCTTTCATTGCGTTTATTTTTAGTTGTGTCCGCAACCCGCCCAACCAACATTTTAGACGACTCTCTCATTACAGACATACCTCGTAATTGCGCAGCTTTCAACTTCCGGTCACATAACAGGTGCAGCCACAAATCGTTTGAATTGAAAGCTTGCAAGCAAAAGACCGAAGTTCGAATGCCCTTGCTGTTAATATGAACAAGGAAAACTTTAAAAAGCTTTAAATGTGAGCTGATTTCTTTCTATGCACTAAAGTTGTTTATTGTATATGGTTAACTTTAAAGGAAAATAGGAATATTATTTAATTAAGATTCAATTAGTTTACGAGGCATAGCTGTAATAATAATAATTATATATTATAATAATAATTTCCCGAGTCACTTTATGTCATCTAAATCAGCTTAAACTCAGTTCACAGACTACAAGGAAATCATTAATATATTATATTTATTATTATCTTATCATTATTTACATATTACCTGAATGCCTTATCAGAACCACTTTTCATACGAAAATTTAACCTAGTTAGTTTATTCTTAAGCAAACTATATTGATAGAAAAGAGAGAACTAGTAACCGCTCGCTTTCTATAAATGCATTACATACAGCAAATGAAGAGACCAAAAAAATAGTTAAAAAAAAAGCGAAATCGTTTAGTGTTCATGTAAATTTTCTACTTTGACATTTTGTGCAGAATTTCGCTGGGGCTCTAAGCGCTGCGAGCCATAAAACCTAACCTAATGTCATTTAACGACGTCGACGTCGACGTCGCTGTCGACATTTGCCGCGGCTTTTGCCAAGCGCACAGGTACACACAAAACTTTTTAATGGAAGTGAAAGTTTTTTGCGCGAAGCCAGTGTCTAAAAAAGAAGCATAAAATAAAAAAAAAAAACAAAAAAATAAATAAAATTTGGCCAACACACATGCCGCATATCTAAGCAGTTTTTTATTTCTATTATTTTTTTTTTTTTTTTATTAGAGCTCTTAGCGCCAGCAGGCCGAAAATATTCAAAAATCAACAACAAATTAAGTGTACAATAAAATTGCACATTAACAAATATGCGAAACAGCTGCTGGAAAGCGCGAGCCACATATATTTAGAAGCAAATGTCAGCGCTTTTTTTTTTTTAATTTCATATAATTTAATTATTATTCAATATGGTCTGCGCGCATATAAATTGTTAAATAACGAACAATATCTGCACGAGGCAAAAGAACGCGCCGCAATTAATAAACAAATGCGAATATTGGAATGAATGAAAGCTGAAATGTGCCTTATGGCTGAATAAAATGCGTTATTTATTCAGGCCTAGTATACTCTAGATATATGCTTAAATATTCCAACAATTCAGACGAGAAATTTCAGTTTCTTTTGTTGCTTTTTTTCCCCCCCGTTTGCCATTTATTTGTTTTTTTTTTTTGTGGCATTTCTTGGGATCTATGTTTAGATATCTATCAATGCGAACTATATACAGGAATTTCTAAAAATAGATCTGTTGACTTTTGTACCAAGAAAATACAACTTTACAGGTTGAATAAGATAAGATTGGGTGTTCAGTTTGTGGAAAGGGTGCGTAGGGACATCTCTAGGCTGGTAACCTGTTTCTAAGCTATAAATCAGTTTCAAAGCAAGTTGTTTACATCAGGTTGAAAAACTGGCGAAACGGGATAATTTTTTTTAAGTCTCTAAAGTGATTTGAAGTGGAAAGAAATTAAATCTGTGATCTCTGCTAGTTGTGAGCAGGCTAAACAATTGACGAGAAACCGTTTTCTAAGTCGCACAGTGTCAAACGGTTCTAGAACTTATTTCAGATACGTATTAAAAATTGTTCCCAAAAGAAAATCAGCTTGCGCACCTGCAAATAAATAAAACCGGTTTTAAACTGGTTGAAAATATACTAAAACTGTGGGTGTACAAATAATGAAATGCAATTTGTTTAGCCCTTTCAAGTAAAACATTGTTATACATTCCCATTCGTGTTAATATTAAATTAACATTGAGAATATTATCATAACTAATGATGTATTTGGTATCAAAGCCATATCTGTGATTCATATGTAAATCTATAGATAAAAGTTGACTTCTTTATCGGAAAAAATAAGGCTGGCTAGATTGTGTGTCACATGGATGAGTCATGGTGAAAACCTGCACTGAATGCCAAAAATGTAGCTCAACTGGCAACAAATACATATAGAGATAGCTATAGACAGATGTAAAGGCAAGTACTTAGTCAGCATACAAATCAAACAAGCTGATAAATGTATGCCATATATGTAGACTTTATAGTTTTACAAACATTTAAATAATACGTGATTGTATAAAGTCTAAAGATGATCCATTTCGAAATTCTTATCAATGATCACTAGCGAAATTAGTGAAACTAGTTTAAAAGCGAATCTTATGTTAAATAAGCGAACTTTTACGGTTACCCAATAAGATTGCATTAAAATCTAATAATAGTACAAAAATGATTAAATATTGAGAAACCTTTGATGATGGTATAAAATATAAGCTTGATATGATAAAATGTCATCTAAAAATGGCAGAAAAATACATGAGTTAATTGTGCACTAATTTAACATATTGAAGCAAATATTTATTTATAAACAGAATGGAAGATTGTAAGTACAAAAGACAGTTCGGTCCGTTTTTGGGTAACTTTTGATGCTCATTGACTATTTTTTGAAAATGTTGTCTTATTTCACTCAACTACTTCAAATTGCTGCATTTAGTTTCTAAGGCGCAGTTCGTCAAATACAATAATCATTGGTTCCATCATCAACATCAACATTATGTTGTTGGTTTTTGTTTCATATGACTGCCGACTACAAAAACAACAACAACAAAAACAAGAACAGGAGCAGCAGCAGCAGCAGCAAATATAAACAACAACAAGCAGCGGTTGTCAGTTTCAATTAAAATCAATTGAGCTCAATTATTTGATACGCAGATGAAATAAAAAACCCGCGCGCCACAAGTTTCTGTTTTCATACGACGTTTGTGTGCGTGTGTGTGTGTGGGTTTGGCTGGTATGTGGCCCTCGAAAATGTTAAGAATATGGGGGCGTGGCTAGCAAGAATTTACATGCTGTAAATAATAAACAATATGCGAAAGCGAAATGCGAGGCACAGGTGTAAACAGCAAAATCAACAACAACAATAACAACAACAGAAACAGCAACAACAACAGCAACTACAAACATGGCAACAAGACAAGAGCGACAAAAAACGAGTGTAAAATCATTTTTTGCACTTGCTTCTCATATACCCTGTAAATGGCATTAATTGAGAGTATGCTGGGATAAACGGAAGATGAAAGCGAGCTAAATAACCAGATAATTAATATTGCACGTCGCAGTACAGTAGACCCTCACTATAAGAATTATTTGAAATTTTAATTGTCTGTAGAAGTTTTTATTTTACGAACTTAAGTTATGAAATATGGCATGCAGGCTTTTATATAGATGATATTGTTTAAATTTTGCTTCGTTTGAAGAGATCAAAGGAAAATAGGATTTATACAAGCTTTATTTCATTATTTTATATTTTAAAAATAATTTAATATAATATATTATTTTTTTTATATCTTTTATCAGTGTTATATATATGTATATATATTTTTATAATTTTCGTTTATTAATCCCTGTCACCAATTTAGTTAAGTTTTTTTTTTACTCAACACTTCTTTAGCCCTATCATTGCTGGGTATGTGCTAGTCGTGCACTTGTGCGCTCGCAACACTTACTTGTTTTGACTGTGGTTTTTGTTGCCGCTGTTGTTGTTTTCTGTTTAATAAGCCACAAGAAAACAGATGTTACCAACAGCAGCAGCCAGTTGGTCAGTTGTGGCTTAAGGCAAGGGTTAAAAAAAGAAGCGATGCCAGACCAAAGACAACAACAACAACAATAACAGTAGGTGTAATGGGTGTAGGTGTACGACCGTGTCTGTCTGTCTGTCAGTGGGTGTGTGTGTGTGAGTTTGAGCGGATGTTTGAGTTGAGTGCACAGCTACCGAGGCGCAACGAAATTAATCGAACTCTATGCGCACGTTATGCTCTAAACACGAGCCAGGCACATACATATGCATATGTATATGCATATACATATATATGTATAAAATTTATACACATATGTATGTATATTCGTTGCATCTGTAGTTATCTGGCAACTTGACACGTTTCGGTCTGAGGCAGTTTTCATCGCATTGGCAGCTATGAAATGTGCCATAATCGTGCGCAGTCGCAGCGCGAATCTTTGGCTTTAAAACGTGAGGCACATAATAATAACAGTACTCGTTACACGCTATATCGCATATAACACATATAACACTAATACAGATACAGCACAACACAATGAGAAAGCTTGCCCAAAAAAAAACTTTTATTTATATATACATGTAAATAGTAAAAAGAAAAAAAATCTTTGACTGCACAATTAGAAATCAGCGGAACACAAATGTAACAATGACGAACTACAGATGCTCTTTGAGCGCAAATATAAAATTGCTTTAGATATGCGAATATTATCGGCAAGTACTCTTCATTGATTAAACATTCAAATTTGTCGGAGTACAGTAATAAATGATAACATATGTTAAAGTTGTGCTCTGACTCTGTGGTAACGGAACAAACGCAAAAGAAACGATCTTGAACTGATTTTGTTGTTTACTTACGAAACAATAATGTATGTGTGTACAGTCAGTTTTCAGGGTTAAAGCAGATCTTGCAAGGTAGGGGTTGCTTTGGAAGCAACGAAAACGTGATGAATGCAACCTTTGCATCTTGTTAAATTAAATGAGAAATAAAAATCCCTTCAAGGGTAATTTGAAAACAAATATCCCTAGTTCACTAGGCCCGTTATATTTTGTAGTGTATAAAAAGTAAATGCGATAGCGACCAAAAATGAAAGGCCGTTGCGACAGGAGTTGGATTTTTGTTGTTTTTTTTTTTTTAATTTAATTTTATTTTTTTTGGGAAAGTAACGACGCGACTGACAGCGCAGCGGCAGAGGCGGCGCACTTCCAGACGTAGGCGTTGGGGAGACGAAGAGACAGCGATAGGCGCAACTGGAATTGCTGGCGAGTTCAATGTCAACGGCGTGGGCACACACTGTTTTTTTTTTTCTTTATTTTTTGTAATTTTTTTATTACCACTTCCGCGCATTTCTGTAAAGGAAGCCCACAACCAAAGTACGGCCACACCTAAGCCAAAGCCTCGAAAAACAAGTAAAAGCAAAAAACAAAAACAAAAAGTGGCATGAACAGGCCAAAAGGAGAAGGAGCAAGCAGTCGGGCGGCATTTACAGCGCGAAATGGGGTGGAATGTGTTAAACAGATAGAAAGACAGACAGAAAGGGGCAGAGTGAGGGGCAGACAGACAAGCAGGCAGCAGGCATATGGTGGAGTTGTCTCAGGTGTGAGTGTGTTGGGTGTAAGTGTGACCAGCAGGGTGACATAAATGTAGTGTAAAAGCAACAAAATAATATACGTACACATATGCATTTATACACATGTATTTGCCCTTTTACATACCAGCAACAACAAAAACAAAAGCAAAAGGCAAAATGCGTACATTATGCGAGCGGCGATCCATGCGTGGGAATAGGAAACACACAGAGTAAGAGTGAGAGCGAGAGGCGACAATAACGTATGACGAAACCACACAGCAGATGCGGGAGGCGGTGAAAGATGTTGACCCCCCTTAAAATGGGGCGTTGTTGTAATACTGTTGTAATAACTGTAAGCTACTGTTTTTTTTTTTGCCGTATTTGACACACAATTCGCGCTGATGGGAAAACGATAAAACAATAACACAATTATAAAAGACAGCGTTTTGAAATGCTTGAGAAACAGAAACAAGCGTCTATTATTTATTATGCCTTAACAATACACATACACTGACACACATTTTTAAATAGAAGAAGAGATACTTTTCTGCTGCTGCGGCCGCTGTTCGTTCGCAGCATATCTTTTTTCTTTTGCTTTTCACACACTCGCACACATACATGCACATGCACAGCGGCCTAGCACAGAGCCACACACACACACATGCATACGCACACACACACAGGCAGACATGCGAGTTTTGCTGGACAACAGGCAACCGCTTATTTAATATATTTACCAAACAATAAACACACCTTAATTGCACATTGAAGCACTTGCATGTAATTGTAATTATATTACAACATTTCAAGAAGTTTTCACTAGCAGCAAAATTTGCAGGGTTTTTGATTGGAAACGCGACAACAAAAATTGCGGCGCACGTAGAAGCGACCACCGAACCGACGACGACGAACTAAAAAGTACTACTGAACGCGGTGTGACCAACGCAGACCAAACGATACCTAAAAGTAGTATTGTACAACAGAGTCGTTGCTTCGTTTTGATTGGCTTGCCTGCGATACCAAATTAGATATTTTGCACTAACCGCATGCGGTCACACTAGTAAATCGCATATGTAAACAAAAAGTCAACCACATAAAATGAATCCACTTACGAATATGCGAAATGTGCTTAAATTAAGCGAACTCGAGCTTAAAAATCCCAGTGCCAAGAGCTGGCATGATATGTACCGTGACTCTGCATGGATATTTATAGCCGGCTTTCCATACACACTCTCCGAAGGTGACATCATCTGCGTATTCTCCCAGTATGGCGAAATTGTAAACATAAATCTGGTGCGAGACAGCAAAACGGGCAAATCGAAAGGATTTTGTTTCTTATGCTACGAGGATCAGCGCTCCACGGTGCTGGCCGTGGACAATTTAAATGGCATCAAAATCATCGATCGCACACTGCGCGTCGATCATGTGGCAGACTATAAGCCACCCAAGGACAACGACAAGCTGGACGAGGAGACGTTGCGCCTTTATATGGAAGGATGTGCGCCGCAGCCTGTAACTAAACCAAAACTCGTTCCCACTGAGCCCGAATTTAGTAAATCCAATAATATAAAGCAGGAAAAAACCAAGCGCAGCAAGAGCTCCAAGGAGAAAAAACACAAAAAGCGCCGCAATAGCTCCGATTAGTCTGAAAATAATAAATAAAGGTTTGGTCATAATTTGTCATAAAGTATGTCCGGCCCACAAAGTATATTCTATATTAAAGAAAACTCAATCCAAGCCTGCACTTGCTTACAAACAAATATATATATTTTTAAGAACTGAGATTATAAACATTATAGAATTTGGTGTGCCTTTTATAGGAACACAAAGAACATAATAAATGGAAATAAATATATAAGGTAATTCTTTTAAAGCGCCCTTTAGTCGCTATTTTGGCCATGTTCGCTGGCGCTCTCAAAATATGGCTCATCCTTGTCGGAATCTTCGGAGCTGGAGTCGAGGCCCTCCGCTTCGCGCAGTATGCGACGTTTGTAACGTTCGTAGGCGCTGCCCTGACGATCCACATTATAGAAATCAACATCATCCGCAAAACCATCTGCCTCTGTGTCTATGGTGTGCACATACGGATCCTGATATGTATTGTAATCCTCTGCATCGCTAGAGCCGCCGCTGGCAAACTCATCCTCATCATCATCTGTGAACAGGTGGCAATAAAATCGTAGGTTTAACAAATTTTTTAATGGGTACCCACCAAACATGAATTTATTCATCTGCTGGCAGAGCTCCTCGTCGGAGCCCACGGCGCCAGCATCGTCATCATCAGGATATTCATTTGTATAATAGTTCTCCTGATTTGAGTCCTCCGAGTCATAGTCCTCATCATCGTTGTAGCAATCCTCAAAGAAGAGCTCATCAACGGGCCGTAGACTATGAAAATGAACAGATTTTGTGATTGATTAATATTTTGATTGAAAATTTAATTAATGGAAAACACTTATGTGCCCATTTTTTCTTCCCCTTTTTTGTTTATTCGATCGACCTTAGATTCATTTCTGAAAAGCGATCTAGAAATTCGAAATGAATTCCCCTTCCCTGATTGCACGTTAATTTCCCGAAAGCGGAATTTTCAAGAAAAACACTAGGCCTGTGCAAAGCCGGGTAACACCTACTAGTTATATACATCAATATTTATTTGAATTGGGCGCTAAACTAAAACTAAGCACTTAATTAGACTTTAGCACATGATTTGTGGAATGACTTAAATCGAAGGCAGAAACTTAAAAAACTGGCAACTGGCAACAAATGGGAGAGGCAAAAGAAGGGGTAAAAAACAATTCGAATACAATGCATATAAAACTAAAATATGTGTGTGTGTGTGTGTGTGTATGTGGCAAGGTGCAAAAAGCGAAAATATAAAACTAATAGCTAATTAAGTTGATTTGGTTTTCTTTGCTTTGCTTCTTTTTGAGGAGCTGACTGCGACCCGTGCTTGAACTGTGATGCGTGCGGGTGGGTTGTGTTTATGTGGGGGTTGGGCGTGGCAGCGTCTTATCACATCGTCGTGGTTGTTGCCGTAGTAGTAGTAGTTGTTGTTGTTGTTGCTGTGTTACCAGTAGCAGTTGTTGTAGTAATTAAACGGATAATACAACCTTATATAGAGAATCAGACGAATTACAATAACAAATTATTTATAGTCAAGTTTCTTTATGCTTATAGAAATTATATCTAGATGATGTTTTATAAGGGGACCAAACAAATGAGCAACATTTACTTAAGCACACACACACACACATAATTCAATTACAATTCGACTAGCCCCAAAGAATGTGATGTTTTTTTTTTACACATAGAAATTTGTAATGTGCAACAATGGTTGTTCTTCAATGTTTAGGACGAACCTTAAATAGTTGTCATCCAACATATCAACATATTGCGCCTGCAGCTCATTCTCCGGCACATACAAATCGTAGACATAGCCAATGTCCGAATCGGCGGGCCGTTGTTGCCTTTGTGCCGTCTCCGGCGACAGCTCCGGCTCCTCCTCTGCACGCTGTGTATGCTGTGACTCAATGTCGACAATCGTTATTTGCCGGCGCTCAGCCGTGCTTTGCTCTTGGCCTCTGCTGCCGCTTGCTGCCTCCTCATCCTGCTCCAACTCATCGTGGAGCGTGGTGCGCAAACAGTTCACAACTCGATATCGTTGCTCGCGCGCAATTTGCTGTGCCTCCTCGCGGCGTTTATCTCGCCGCTGGGCGCTCGCAATAGCCGGATCTATTGTTTGACGCACCAGCTCCTTGGCCGTTGCCTTGTTTAGACGCGCTGCCGCAAACTGCTTCGTGGCGCTGTCATCCTAAAAAATTGTATAACCATTAGTTTCAGCACATTGAATGCTCGTTTAACAAACAGCTCGCTTGTTGCCTTTAAGGATATTTAATATTCGGCACACCAGGACAAATTGAAATCCTTGGGTGTTCACTTAAGCGCCTACATTGAGTATTTGCCGCCTGACTCACCTGTTTTTCCAGTGTGCCGGCAAATTTTAGCAGCACCTGGTTTAGCTCCTCTTTGTTTTCAACATTTGGCGTCGCTGCCGCGGGCGCATTTTCATCGTTTAGCAAGCGTCGGCGTTTGCCGTTCAATACAAATGCCGTGTGCGGCTCTTCATCAATGCGGCGCTTAATGCGCACCACAGCTGGCATATTTTTAGCTTATTTATTGCTTAATATTATTGCTTTATTGTTGCTTATCCGCTGGAATTTTATATCAAAATATGACGCTTGCGCCACAAAATAAAAATGTGCTACTAACAGTGTGAACGTAGCCAGCAGGCAATAAAATGCTACAAAAAATACCAAATTGACGGTATTAAACAGCAAGCTGAACGAATCTGGTACAAAAACGATACCGATACCACTTCTTGTGCAACGAAATTATTTTGTGATCGCGAGTAAGCATAGGCGCCAAAACTATGCAGCTTGAGAAGACATTTTTCATTTATATTAAATAATGTGTTATATCGCGAGTTAAAAAGTGTATGAAATTACGTTTTAACCAAAACGGGAGGTCGGTTAAGTGAATGCAAAAGCGTAAATGTCTGCTGGCATTTTTTTCGCAACATGTTCCGTTAGCTATGCGTACGCTGAAAGTGCACGATTCATAGGCGAATATTGTTAGCGTGCTGTCTCGCTCTGTGCTCGTTTGATCGACGTCTAGCTATCTTTTTTTTTATAAAAGCTAAAGTTGCAATTCTAATAGAAAATTAGCTAGAAAAAAAACGTAGCTGAAATTCAGAACATGTGAAACTGTTAGCTTCGAACTGTTAGTTAACAGTGGAGCGCTCTGAGCACGCTAACATTGCGCTCCCAGAAAGTATGCAAGCCTAATACGAGCAAAGGGAATGTTAAATAGTCGGTTTGTGTACGCGCCGGGGTTCAGTTGTGTGTTCGGTGGGTGACGCGCGCATTGGATATGTTTTGCAAAATGTACCGTTAGCATTTACGTGTGCCGGCAGCCGCAGCAGCATCAGCAGCAAACAAAATTAAAACGTGCCGCAAGTGCCAAAGCTGTTTGTCTCGCCATCTCACTCTTTCGCCCCACTCAAGTGCAATAATTTAAAGTGCGCTTAAAAAATTTAAAGCACGCCAGCAACACCCTGTGAGTGGGTTGTCCCCTGTATGCGAGTGTGTGTGCGTGCGCGCTTGTCGCTCGTCGCATTGTCTCGAATTCGCGCGCGCAATTTGGCTGTCTGTGTATTGTTTGTGTTATGTGAGTGTGTGTGTGTGTGTGTTTGTGTGTGCTTACTGCAATTTGCGCCCAAATGATTTACCGTTTGATTGCTATCAACGCTTGCCGCAATTATGTTTTAATTGGCGCTAAATGGTTTACACACAACAGGATTAGCTGCAGCCCTTACGACAGGTGAGTGTGTTTGCTCCCAACCCCACCGCACCTGTGCAGCATCTTAAAAGTAAATTGAATTCGCTGTGTGGCATGAACTAATCCCGCATGCACAACGGCCTACAGACTATAAAAATATTTACGAGTAAATATGTATTACAAGGGAGCCCACAGCTTTCCCAGCTAAGCATAACATATGTTTGGGCGCACTTTTCTAATACCCTGTATCCATTTAAAATGTGTAAAGCCGAGCATATTACAGAGACAGAGTATATTTATGTAACAGACAGTGAGAGGCATTTCTGAACTCATATACACATACATATTCTTGATCAGGATTACAAACTGAGTCTGGTTAGATTCACGTTCTGTGTGCTCTAAGGGGATCAGAACGAGGCTTTGGGCGAACATGTGCTATAGTGTGTATGTATATGCATACAGGGCATCTCCTTGTTGGACACTCTTGACTAAAGGACTCTGCCTTGTTTATGATCAGTAGCGTGGCGGCGGCGCGGGGTGTCAAAAAATTTGCCAGCGTATGAATCATTTCGCCTACCCGCCGTCGTCCCCTATGCGTAATATGAGACGCGTCTGTAGCACGTGCATGTGTGTGTGTGTGTGTGTGAGTGCGTTCGTGGGGGATTTCGCCTGACGCATGGTGTGGATACACTGGATGCGTTTGGCATAATAATGAAATAATAATGTCGCCTTTTGTTGTGAGGTGTCTCTCATCCGTTGTGGCAATAAATTAATGGGCCTGCCACATAAAAAGCACCCCAACCGCAGGTCCTTTTTTTGTTTTATTTTTTTTTTGTTTGATTACAGCCTCACATGACTTCCGTGTACCCGTTATGAGATTGGCAGATGGGGGCGGAGTGTCAGCTATGTCAGCTGTTTGGCGCAGCAGCCGCTAAGCCCAAAAGATTAACATAAATATTCTGGTTCACGCTGTTCTCGCAACATAAAATGATGAGCTAAAGATCTGCTGATAAAATGCTAATCATAGAAACAATGTTGTCGCGACAACAACGGCAGCTACTACTTACAAGGATATGCCACACGCACCGGCTGTGACCGTGCCCTGAACATTTCCTATTTTTTCGGTGGTGGCAAAAACTTCCTGAGAAACTTTTGTGCTTTCCACTTAGACAAGTTGGCTTTTTTTCTTTTCATAGAGAGTTTCTGAAGAGGTAATCACAACTTTGCAATGCCATCTGGATGGGAAGATACAAAGTGTTTATAATATAATATAACATAGTTAAAAAAAAGGGAACAGCACCAACAAAATATATACTCTATAAACTTTAATTAAATTGCCAAATCTCATGTCTGAACCTTTTTTTCGGTGTTCCAATTTAAGAGTCCGGAAATCTTTTAAAAAACCACAAAAATAAATATTTAATTTTCTCAATATTTGGGTGAGTGTATCTAAGTTTCGATTAAGTAAGCTACATTTTCACAGATTTTTTTTTTGCAGCTCTACTTTGTAACATTTTT